TTGGAGGGGTCAAACAGTCACAGTAGATGCCAATGCGGGAAGTATTATAGATAATAAGTCAACCATTGCTAGCTATCAAGGCAGTGTGTTAACCGCGGTGTACAACAGGAAGTAGACACAGCTGTACCACACAGAGACGTGTACAACAACGACGGACAATCCAATGTCGATATCTGATACATAGCTGCTTCACCAGCCTTGAACACCAGGCGCCAAGTAGTCAATACCAGGATGTGGTTCATATGTTTACATACAGCGACTGCTTACTTGTCTCCCGGGTCATACTTGACCTCACGTCATACATACTCGGGTCTTGAGTAACTGTTGGCAATGTCACTGTATATATCAGGGGGGCGGTGGGGTAGCCTAGTGGTTAAAGAGTTGGCTCGTCACGCTGAAAACCCGGGTTCGAATCCCCACATGGGTACAATGTGTGAAGCCCATTTCTGGTGTCCCCCGCCGTGATGTTGCTGGAATATTGCTAAAAGCGGCGTACAACCATACTCAAGCAGTCAGTCAGTACATATCAGGCGCACTCCATGACATTCCAAGTGAGTGTCATGAACGTGCAATGTATACGTTGTGACTGGAATTTATTCATCGTTTAGGTGCAAATTCACAATACAGTGGCGATGCATCTTATCTGAATATCTGATCACAATTAAATTTCGAGTACTGGACGAACAGCACGTGGTACAAGTGCACACAGAGGCCAAAGTGTGTACACCTGTAGGTTAACTCAAATCATTGATGACACTGAGCCAAGCACAATCTTCACAATGCTTCCGATACAGGATCAAATAACATACAAAATGGCGAGTTATTGGGATATGGATTGGGGGTGCCAGTATCCGGAGTAGACTAACATCTAGTCTCTGAAAAGAATATGTTTTACAGAAAAATCGGTTCCTAAATTTTAATAATAAAATACAATGAAAAGGAACCCAGAGACTTTCTTCATTTTCAGCCTGAAACTGTGGATATCTATACTTGCCACATATTCGAGACTTGCATGGGCTATTTTGGATAAATTTGTTTCAGGGTCTGTATGACAGACTATATATCCGGAATTGCCTGAATGTTTGGCAAAATTTTGCAAAGAGTCATGGGCTGGGTATGCCTTAAATCATCACCTCCACAAGATCGCCTCATTAGAATAATTGTATTGCGTAATGGATTCAAATCTGGGCCATTGTCAACGGATTTCTGTACAATAACAGGAAGGCGCATTTCAACATCCACCGTAAAACTAGCTACTGAACAACCCTCCTGGAAACATGGCGGCCTGGGTGAAACAGCTTACTACTGCACAACATCGTTGACACATCAGATGTTGATCTACAGGACTGAAATTAGTATTACATACATTTATCGCCATTACCCATATCAAGTGAACATTATTTCTTGTTGGTACTATATACTCATAGTAATGACGGTCCGTTCTGTCTGCCCTGCTCCCTACATACATATAGCACATCTGTTACTGGGACACGTACATACTGGCCTCGTCAACTCGGTAAATGTACTGAACATGATCATGGATATTTCCGGGGAAGGTTTTTTTATGAAACTGTGTGCCTCAAATTATTTGTGATCCCTCTTGTTGTATTCTCGTAACACGAAGATCATTACTTGAGTGTGTTTCCGTGTCATTATTATCCTCGTAGATCAGGAAATTATAACTTATGACATGTACGGAAACACACACGGTTATAGAAACCGTGTATGACTGCAATGTTGGTGGTGCTTTTTGTTGTTGTTTTGTTTGTTTTGATTTTGGACAATCAGACACGGTGAAAACTGACCATCAGGAGAATAGAGGGCTACTAGTGAGCTACATCTCAAATATTCTATTACAGGAAGAAGAACGCTCACAGACCTGGTGCTGGAGGCTTACCAAACTGTCAAACAGACAATGATGCAGACAGACGTAATATTATACTCTCTGAAAATCTGGGACTCGAAATCAGGATCTGCATCCGGGCACGGCACAGGACCAAAACCTACACATCTTTTCCGCTGCTATTGACCAAACGCTACCCGTGTTTCCTTCAATTGGATGAGGGGCGGTGGGGTAGGCTAGTGGTTAAGGTGTTCGCTCGTAACGCTGAAGATCCGGGTTCGATTCCCCACTTGGGTACAATATGTGAAGCCCATTTCTGGTGTCCCCCGCCGTGATATTGCCGGAATATTGATTAAAGCGGCGTAAAACCAAACTCACTCACTCACACTAGAGAACGGTAAGGTCCCTTCAATATTCTGTGTAGTCGCTAACATTTCCAGCACCCAAAGTGTATCCGATGTTAAGTTCCAAGCACGGAGTGTCCCCCGCCGTGAGATTGCTGGAATATTGATAAAAGCGGCGTAAAACCAAACACACTCACTCACTCGCTCTCGCACCTGCAGTATTCTGGTGCCGATGCTGACATCCCTATCCCACTGAGATGCACGTGCCGACCAGGTGTACCCCCAGACACAGTGTCCTGTATGAGGAGTGGTACTCCCATCACTATCACCTGTTATCTAAACTATGTTACTTCCGGGGTTTAACTAGAAAACTCTGTACGCTATGTTCATACAGCCAGACTACATGCAGGTAGCGCAATTCCCGTGCCAATATCCCACTTCTCTCACACAAAATACACACTGACACATTCCCGAATCGCGATGTCTTTTTAATTAAGGTTACTAAATGGGGTCAAGCAGCATTTGTCAGAGTAGCAACAACACTTGAACACAAAAAGCCCTACATAAAACAGTTTCCATTTTCCACAGTTTCCGAAGCGCCAATCTCATTGGAAGTTCTTTTCGTTTCAAATGTAGTTGTGTATTTCTATGTAAAATAGACATTTTCCGAGACGAAGAGTAAGCCTACTATAGCATATGGGGTTGGGAGAAATGGAACAAATCTGGGGCAGAAACCAGCACTGTTTGCCCGGAAACACATCGATATTTCAGAGGTACAGGATGCACTGACTTAACATCTCGTCTCTGAAATGAATGTTTTACAAGAATAAATCTTTAATTATGTTAATAACGTGTAAAGGAGCTAAGGAACTTCCATTGGTTTTGGAGACTAAACATTTTACAGAACTGTAACATTTAAAACTGCAGTCATGTCGACTTGCCAAATGTTATAGATTTGCATGGGCAGACAATCCCGGTCGTCCTGGCCCCCGTTATATGACGTGGTGGTATCTTATTCCTGGTACATGTAAAGGATATACATGCAAACACAGATATACATCATGCTGATATATATGGCGCTGACAGTATGTGGAACAAAACCAGGTTGAGCGTGACTGTTTTCCGTGACATTATTACAACACGAGTACGTGACCCTGACCATGAGGCATTGTTGCCTCATTGTACCACTCCCACCTAACTATCCCTGGTGTACAGTGTTACCTCATTGTACCACACCCAGCTAACTATCCCTGGTGTACAGTGTTGCCTCAATGTACCACACAAAGTTAACTATCCCAGGTGTACAGTGTGGCCTCAATGTACCACACCCAGCTAACTATCCCTGGTGTACAGTGTGGCCTCAATGTACCACACCCAGCTAACTATCCCTGGTGTACAGTGTGGCCTCAATGTACCACACCCAGCTAACTATCCCTGGTGTACAGTGTGGCCTCAATGTACCACACCCAGCTAACTATCCCTGGTGTACAGTGTTGCCTTATTGTACCACACCCAGCTAACTATCCCTGGTGTACAGTGTTGCCTCAATGTACCACACCCAGTTAACTATCCCTGGTGTACAGTGTGGCCTCATTGTACCACACCCAGCTAACTATCCCTGGTGTACAGAGTTGCCTCATTGTACCACACCCAGCTAACTATCCCTGGTGTACAGTGTGGCCTCAATGTACCACACCCAGCTAACTATCCCTGGTGTACAGTGTGGCCTCATTGTACCACACCCAGCTAACTATCCCTGGTGTACAGTGTTGCCTCAATGTACCACACCCAGCTAACTACTATCCCTGGTGTACAGTGTTGTACCACCCCAGCTAAATGTACCACCACACCCAGCTAACTATCCCTGGTGTACAGTGTGGCCTCAATGTACCACACCCAGCTAACTATCCCTGGTGTACAGTGTTGCCTCAATGTACCACACCCAGCTAACTACTACCCCCCTGGTATACAGTGTTGCCTCAATGTACCACACCCAGCTAACTATCCCTGGTGTACAGTGTGGCCTCAATGTACCACACCCAGCTAACTATCCCTGGTGTACAGTGTGGCCTCAATGTACCACACCCAGCTAACTATCCCTGGTGTACAGTGTGGCCTCAATGTACCACACCCAGCTAACTATCCCTGGTGTACAGTGTGGCCTCATTGTACCACACCCAGCTAACTATCCCTGGTGTACAGTGTGGCCTCAATGTACCACACCCAGCTAACTATCCCTGGTGTACAGTGTGGCCTCAATGTACCACACCCAGCTAACTATCCCTGGTGTACAGTGTGTTATCCCTCAATGTACCACACCCAGCTAACTATCCCTGGTGTACAGTGTTGCCTCTATCCCTGTACCACACCCAGCTAACTATCCCTGGTGTACAGTGTTGCCTCATTGTACCACACCCAGCTAACTATCCCTGGTGTACAGTGTTGCCTCATTGTACCACACCCAGCTAACTATCCCTGGTGTACAGTGTTGCCTCATTGTACCACACCCAGTTAACTATCCCTGGTGTACAGTGTTGCCTCATTGTACCACACTCAGCTAACTATCCCTGGTGTACAGTGTTGCCTCATTGTACCACACCCAGCCAACTATCCCTGGTGTACAGTGTTGCATCATTGTACCACACCCAGCTAACTATCCCTGGCGTACAGTGTTGCCTCAATGTACCACACCCAGCTAACTATCCCTGGTGTACAGTGTGGCCTCAATGTACCACACCCACCTAACTATCCCTGGTGTACAGTGTTGCCTCAATGTACCACACCCAGCTAACTATCCCTGGTGTACAGGGGCACTAAGGGGGTGAGATGCTGGTGTCTGGCAGGTCGGAGGGGAGGGAGGGGACTGAGGGGGTGAGATGAGATGCTGGTGTCTGGCAGGTCGGGGGGTGGGGGGCACTGAGGGTGTGAGATGCTGGTGTCTGGCAGATCGGGGGCACTGAGGGGGTGAGATGCTGGCGTCTGGTAGGTCGAGGGGGCACTGAGGGGTGAGATGCTGGTGTCTGGCTCGAGGGGCACTGAGGGGTCGATGGGTGCACTGAGGGTGTGAGATGCTGGTGTCTGGCAGGTCTGAGGGTATGAGGCACTGAGGGGTGGAGATGCTGGTGTCTGGCAGGTCGGGGGCACTGAGGGTGTGAGATGCTGGTGTCTGGCAGGTCGAGGGGGGCACTGAGGGTGTGAGATGCTGGTGTCTGGCAGATCGGGGGGCACTGAAGGGATGAGATGCTGGTGTCTGGCAGGTCGGGGGGCACTGAGGGGGTGAGATGCTGGTGTCTGGCAGGTCGGTGGGGGCACTGAGGGTGTGATATGCTGGTGTCTGGCAGGTCGGGGGGGCACACAGGGTGTGAGATGCTGGTGTCTGGCAGGTCGGGGGAACAGGGTGTGAGATGCTGGCGTCTGGCAGGTGTGGGGGCACTGAGGGGTGAGGTGCTGGTGTCTGGCAGATCAGGGGGCACTGAGGTGTGAGATGCTGGCGTCTGGCAGGTCGGGGGCACTGAGGGTGTGAGATGCTGGTGTCTGGCAGATCGGGGGGCACTGAGGGTGTGAGATGCTGGTGTCTGGCAGGTCGAGGGGCACTGAGGGGGTGAGATGCTGGCGTCTGGCAGGTCGGGGGGGGGGCACTGAGGGGGTGAGGTGCTGGTGTCTGGCAGGCAAGACCTCATGGTGGGTGTTATGGCAGCTTGCGAGTCACTTAATACATCTCACCGCAGTTGTTCTCAGTGGCCACAGATTCCTAAGCTATCTGTCAGGTTAGATCTTGTGTTGTTCTGGTTTCGGAGAAGACCAGTCATCGGGTACCAGCCCAATAACCCGTTGATGTAGAGTAGTTTATTGTAAAAGACAGATCAGCCCAGAGGTCGAAGACTGGATACGACAGGCAGTCCCAGTCGACAAGCCACGAGAAGCACAGGACAGATTGTACCAGAGGAATGATTGCAGGGCTTCCACCTGGCCGTCCCTCCTGGGTCGATGAATGAGGTGAAAGCTACGGGCGGGTCGTGGGTTTCACACTTCTACTGTGCACCTTTAATGTTATCGATGTGGCATATATAATGTTATTATTAAACAGCATGACACGGGGCTATTGACACAAGGTTGTCGGAATTGCTGAAGGAATTGTGCAGGGGTGTATAGTTAATATGAATGAACCCGCCTTGTTCCAACACAGCTCTCGGTGCCGTATCACAATGATACGTAAAAACAGGAAGACTGCTGACCTTAGCAGCGGTAATGATGATAAGAAGCCCACAAGACTTTAGTGAGCAATGGAGGACGGGGTGGAGATAGAGAGTGAGAGAGAAATATACGCACACGAGAGAGGGTTCTTTTTTGTTGAAATGACGTCACTCTACTGACGTCATTTCTAAAATGTATCCCCGTTGTACTCAACCCAAACGCATCCCTACAACCATCCCACCCCAATATGTGACGGGGAGACACCCGTCACCTCTCAGACACCCGGTTGTGGTCGTGCGACGGTGTGGTGTGTTGATGTAGTAGTTGTTGTGGGGTGAAGAGGTTATGGTGATGATGTTGGTTGGTTGTTTTGTTGTTTAACGTCACATTCAGCAATATTCCAGCTATATGACGTCGGTCTGTAAATAATCGAGTCTGGACCAGACAATCCAGTGATGAACAGCATCAGCATCGATCTACGCAATTGGGAACCGATGACATGTGTCAACCAAGTCAGTGAGCCTGACCACCCGATCCCGTTAGTCGCCTCTTACAACAAGCATGGGTTACTCAAGATCAATTCTAACCCGTATCTTCACGGGTAGGTGATGATGTATTAGACGTTGGGTGGAGAGCGTGGTGTTGTCATCTCATGTTCCCTACCTCCTTGCCCTCCACGCAATGCTAAAGCCCTAAATGAAGCAAGTCTAGAATCTCGCATCAGGTTCTGAATCTCCCATCTGACTGAGGCTCCTTTTCAATTTAAATGGGTTTATTTGTTACTATTATATGAATTCAGAGACTAAGCGTAAGTCTACGGTTCCGTGTAACACAGCCCAGAGTCGCGATGCCGTACCATACAGTCAACACATAATGCTGGGCCATGTTGCGGGGGTGGAGGCTCAAAGTAAACCTAATGTCTTTCACTACCTCAAATTAATGCCTTCACAGCAGGCCTCTGTTGACATCCCCGCCACGCAACAGTATTTGCAAGTACTGAAGTAGGTCAAGATCAACGTTTCCTCAAGGAAAGTGAATGCAATATCAGATAAAGCTATCCTACCAGTCATCTCATTATCTCTGAATAACAACCAAGTTGTGTTGGTGCACTCACCCTAGTCTGTTCCAAAGTCCCTGAACCACACTATTTCCCCCACAGCCTAGCCTTCCCTGCAGTGCTAAAACCCTAAATGAAGCAAGTCTAGATTTCCCGAGGTTCTGAATCTCTGGTCTCCCTGGGTCTCCTTTTCAATTTATAATAGGTTTGTTTGTTACTATCAAAATTATATCTATTCAGAGACTAAGCATTAGTCTACAATCACCCCAGTGTACAGAAAGTGGGTGAATGAGAGCAAACACCAGCCTTAATAGAGTATAAACCTAGCTAATTGCAACACATGGTAAGTAAGTATAGCTACTAGTATGTTAACTGTTTGAATTCAGTGCATGCACTATGACGGAACACTCTCTCCCCAGTGGGCGCCAGACAGTGACTGGGTGACACGTGTGTTCGACCTGACAATCACTTCAGTAACCACGGTAACTTCTTCATGGGCGTCAGGGACGTCAGCTGAAATCTGTTACTGAGACATATTTCTACATTCAAGAATCGCATGCTTGCACAGGAAATAAGTCACACTCGACAGCGATGATCTCTAAAATGCATCTGGATAATGTCAAACTGTCCCCGCCCCTCCCCAACCTCTCTGACGTCGGCGATGCAGCATGAGACCGAATGAAGTGGGCTGGGTTACTTCCATAACGTAATGACTCAGGTGATAAATCGCTACCTGTCAACACCGGGGGCTGGCTAGGTGTCTGTAAGGAGGCTTTGTGATACTAGAAAGTGAGGTTAAGTCACTTGACGTGTATTATGAGAGTAGCACTCCCTTTAGTACAGTGGGGATCAGCTGGCCTCACCGTCTCAATTTTAGCCATCTAATACACTGAAGAACGACAAGGCACCATATATATGAAGAAACATGTGAAGAAACCTAAATTAGAGCAAACTGACAAAACTATGACCCTACGCTTCCACCTGTCTCCTCGCCACTGTGGTGATATGGAGATATAGATCTAACGGGCTGTAGTTACACAACAACACACTGCACGTGTTGCAGTAGACAGCTTCACACACGATGTAAATAGCAACTGACCTCATTCGTGTGTCCCGTTGGACCGAGGGGGTCGTGGCGAATCCAATATCTGCCGCCTCTCCTCCGCTACACCCTCTGTCATGTTCTTGGTGTTACCGATCATTGAGCGCTAAATACGTATGACTTGATATACAATGGTTTGTTGATGTCAGTTTCGGTTGAGAACGTCCTGCCAGACTTTCGCTCGGCGTCAACTGAGCGCGGATTCCCCCTGCTAGAGAACTCGTCTCGCTTTGGCGGCAACAGCTGCTGTGTGGGGGAAATCCCAGCGCTGCGCCGTAGTCATATTGGCTGACCTCTGACCCCTGGAGGTGAGCCGTGTCGCTCGAAGCAGTTACCATTTGTCGTGCAGGTTCATGTCAGTTCACAAACACCAAGACACTATGAAAACCTAAAACAATGTTTGTGAAATTCAAGTAACCTAATATCCTATGCTTTAGTTCTGATCAGTCGCACAATTTTATTTACAGCCGGTGCCTGTTAGAGTTCAATGTAAAACCAGGGATAATCTAGTCTCCCTGGTAAAACAGAGCAATTTTGAATTTTCAAGGCAATATAGTCTGATATACAGTACAACAAGAACTTATTGAGAATTTAAGATTGTAATTTTATATATTTTTTTCACTCATTACTCACGTATTAAATGTGAATATTAGCAGAACATAACTCCAGATTCAAAGACAGGTGAACAGTTAGTATTTTGTCAAGTCACCATGGGCAGCAATGCAGGCTTCAATGCGGCGGGGCATACTACTGATCAAAGAAGTTAGAAAGTCGTGGTCCATGCTGTCCCAATATCGGACCACCTCTTCTTTCATTTCAGCAATATTTGTCAGATGTTTCTTATTGACACTTTCCTTCATAAGTCCCCAAACATGTTCTATTGGATTTAGGTAAGGGCTATAGCTTGGCCAATCTAATAATGTCATATTTTGGGTCCGAAACCAGGCCTGTGAATGCTTTGAACGATGTTTTGGGTCGTTGTCCTGCTGGAAAATCAAAATATTTCCATAGAACACGTGAGCAGATGGAAGTAAATGTCCCTCGAGAATATCTGTATACCGCTCACTGTTCATATTCCCTTCAAATACACAGAAGGGCGTTGCCCTAACACAGATATGCCACCTCACACGTTAAATTTCGGACTGTACTTTGTGCGCTGATACAAAGTTTTTTTAGTTTGTTTGGTCCAGAATTTCAGTGTATTAAGAAAAAGCCACACATAACTTTCATCTGAGAAAATCACATTGTCTCAGGTAAAATTTCTATGCTGTAAGCACCAGTTCAACCTTCGCTTCTTTTATTCAGGTTACATGATCGGTGATGGAATTCCTCGACTTTTCTGCCAACCCATTGCATGCAGCTCAGTTCTAATTGTCTCCTTACAGACAGCCACAGTTCCTCTATCAATCATATCCAGCCTTACGTTTTCTAAACTCCTTCGTTTGTTTTTAGAAACAAGAATACCAAGCCGCCTCCTGTCACCGACAGTCAATTTTCTGGGCCTACCTGCCCCTCCCTGGTGCTCAATGCCATATCCATTTGCAATATTTTTCAAAACACGATAAACAGTGGACAAAGGGATGCCTGTTCTACTTGAAATCACTTTAGCTGATCTGGTGTCCTTGTTATAATACTCTAAAATCAACTTCCTCTTCTCTAAATCATCCATACTGAGGATCACTGAAAATGTCATCTGCTAGCAAGTAAACAAAGGTGGATAACTCTTCACAAACTAATGAAAAAGGATTAACGGAGTTGTCTCTCTTGAATGAAACCAAGCACTTGATAGCTGGTCAAGGTTGTTTATACTAGAAATCCAATTAAACATATTCCTAAAATTCTCAATAATTTTTGGTCATACTATATCAGTGATGCTAACTTAGTTCCTCTTATTCCACTCGTCATCGACCTGTTGCTTCCTGGTGCTAAGATACTGCTTTGAGTCATGCTCGGCGATCGGAGAGGACCCCTCGGTTTTATAAGAACACATGATGCCTCTAGAGAATTCTGAGGATTACGGATAAATAAATAGTACACCCTGATGAAAACCTGATGGAAGCGTTTTGCTACGATGTGACGGGGTAGATTCAGACTCCCTCGATAGTTCCGCTCTGTTGCATGTACACTACAACATCAGTAGCTGGAGAGTCAAATACTTGATGCAGGTTTTAGTAATGTTCAGAACCTGAGGAAATCTAGACTTGCTTCATTTTAAGGCTTTGGCAGTGCAGGGAGGGCTAGGCAGTACGAAATTATGTGGTTCAGGGACTGTGTAGACTTATTAGACTAACGCTTAGTCCCTGAATATATATGATTGTAAATGACTCCAGTCAAAGGGAAATACCTTTTCCCATGAATGTTCTCTACAATACAGAGAATTCAACTGGAACAATGCAGAGATTACCTTTGGGAAAATAGCGACATTACAGATGGAACAATGCAGAGATTACCTTTGGGAACATAGCCACATTACAGATGGAACAATGCAGAGATTACCTTTGGGAAAATAGCGACATTACAGGTGGAACAATGCAGACAATACCGCGGGAAAAAAAGCGACATTACAGATGGAACAATGCAGACAATACCGCGGGGAAAATAGCGACATTACAGATGGAACAATGCAGACAATACCGCGGGGAAAATAGCGACATTACAGATGGAACAATGCAGACAATACCGCTGGGAAAATAGCGACATTACGGATGGAACAATGCAGACAATACAATTGGAACAATAAGACAATTCAACTGGAACAATGCAGAGATTACAGCTGGGAAAATAGCGACATTACAGATGGAACAATGCAGAGATTACCTTTGGGAAAATAGCGACATTACAGATGGAACAATGCAGAGATTACCTTTGGGAACATAGCCACATTACAGATGGAACAATGCAGAGATTACCTTTGGGAAAATAGCGACATTACAGATGGAACAATGCAGACAATACCGCGGGGAAAATAGCGACATTACAGATGGAACAATGCAGACAATACCGCGGGGAAATAGCGACATTACAGATGGAACAATGCAATAAGACAATTCAACTGGAACAACAGAGATTACTTTGGGAAAATAGCGACATTACAGATGGAACAATGCAGAGAATACCTTTGGGAAAATAGCGACATTACAGATGGAACAATGCAGATACCTTTGGGGGAAAAAGCGACATTACAGATGGAACAATGCAGACAATACCGCTGGGAAAATAGCGACATTTACAGATGGAAACACAGATGGAAGACAAGACAATACGCTGGGGAAAATAGCGACATTACAGATGGAACAATGCAGACAATAGCGACGCAGAACAATGCAGACAATACCGCGGGAAAATAGCGACATTACAGATGGAACAATGCAGACAATACGACATTACAGATGGAACAATGCAGAAATACCGCGGGGAAAATAGCGACATTACAGATGGAACAATGCATTACAGATACAATGCAGACAATACCGCTGGGAAAATAGCGACATTACAGATGGAACAATGCAGACAATACCGCGGGGAAAATAGCGACATTACAGATGGAACAATGCAGACAATACCGCGGGGAAAATAGCGACATTACAGATGGAACAATACCGCGGGGAAAATAGCGACATTACAGATGGAACAATGCAGACAATACCGCGGGGAAAATAGCGACATTACAGATGGAACAATGCAGACAATACCGCGGGGAAAATATACAGATGGAACAATGCAGAGAATACCGCGGGGAAAATAGCGACATTACAGATGGAACAATGCAGACAATACAGATGGAACAATACTAGCTGCCTAAAACTGGTTATGGATGCGTAGACATACAACTCACAGACATAGTCACACTAAGGGACAATTACTAGTACACAAATGGAATATAATTATCTTACGAATGGATACATGACATTAATTCGAGTCGATCAAATGATGTGGTCAGTGTACAAAGACAGGCATTTCGTTCCCTACTGCTTTACTACTGGTGTTAGACAGTTGATCTGTGAAGTGGAAATACCCTCACTTTGAACTGCACCATCTAATCACATGGATGTTACGACCTGGGTGTGCGGGGGAGCCTGTGTCAGGTGGATCAGCTTATCAGCAACTCTTGGTTACATCCTTGTTGACGTTGAACTCAGTGTTTGACGTGGGTAATCCATGTTTTTATCATCTACATCAGATAGTCGGACAGTCTGTCGCAATGTGTCTGGCTTCTCGACACACATTCCAACCCTCCTCGTGCGACGGCCGAATGTCTTCATGTATCGTCTGTGTGATGTAAGATTATCTGTTTCAGAGACACAGTGTACATATTACGACATAAACCCGTGTTCAGGGAAACAAACGCATTCTACAGTGTTTGCAAGACGTGCTGTCTTCGTCACAGTAAACTGGCTTCATATAAAGACTTTATGATCCGTGAAACTGCGTTAAGGACCTGGTTCATGGGCCCGGATATTCCATTGCCACAGTATTCCATTGCGTTATTCCTACATGTGTTCCTAGCGAGAGGAATATCTGGACCGGGTGGTCAAGCTGTGACATGTCTGATCGTGTGTCACAGTTACCCGAGGCTGAGATCGTCGGCCCGGTCCAGACTAGATTATCTACAGACATCCTTTACATGGACGGTATATGTCCAGATTCTGTCAATCGTTCGCTCGCTTTGATAACATGAACCCCGAACATGACCATTCGGCTTTCAGTCTATTACAGACTGACTGACTGACAGACTGAGTTTGGTTTTACGCCGCTTTTAGCAATATTCCAGCAACGTCACGGCGGGGGACACCAGAAATGGGCTTCACAAATTGTACCCATGTGGGGATTCGAACCCGGGTCTTCGGCGTGACGAGCCAACGCTTTAACCATTAGGCTACCCCACCGCCCCCCTATTACAGACTTCATGCATCAAATACACCTGTACAAACAATAGTATCACACCATTTTCATATAATATATTTACAAATGTCCACATATGATATATTAGCTTTAGCTGATACATATCTGACAAGATACAGGTCTCTATACCTGCTGAGAGTGGGGACGATCGATTGCATGTTTCACCAGATAGCGGCAGATGGAATGACTTGACGCATTGACCCTAAACGTAAATCCATGGAATAATACCACAATCGCACACACATGCATTAACACGCAGACGCACACACAAACACCCTCCACCTCATGCACGCTCATACACGTGCATCCAAGATAACTGTTATCCTAGTGTAGTGTTCTAATATGTACTTTTTTATTA